AATGTGGCTATTTGATTTTATCTATATTTAGTAATTTGTGATTATTATGAAAGTATTGAATTGAATTTCATGATTCCAGGACACACTAAATTCGAATGTGATGGTAATTTTGGTATGGTTAAAAAACTCTATAGAAGAACCAGAGTAGATTGCTTGGATCATGTGGTTGAGATGATAAAAAAGTCTAGTCCAGCTGGATTAAATAAAGCTCAATGTTATAAAGGTGGAAAAGGTTTTCAATACTTAGATATTAAAGCAATTTTGGGAATTTATTTTAAGAAATTGCCAAGCATCCAGAAATATCAACATTTTCTTTTTGAAGCAACTAATTTTGGTACAGTGAAAGTTCAAGAAGTTGCTAATGGTCCTTTTACTGAATAGTGTTTGAATCCGAATCTCAAATGAGACTCATTAAGGAGGTTACACATTACCAAGATCATGTGGTGAACACATGATTTTAAGCTACTTTGATAATGTGTAACCCACTTAATGAGTCTCATTCGAGATTCGGATTCAAACACTATTGAAAACTCTTTCCTCTTGATAAATTTCATAGGTATCCTTTCTTTGTCTGCAAAGATTTGGTATCTGCTAATTTAAAAATGTAAGGAGCAATTTTCTCACCTTGTTCTTCCTTCAAAATACTTCTAATAGTGCTGTAATCCTTTGGTTCCATGGTAGACCTAATGTAAATTAGCTTCATATTGTTATTTTTATATAGAAGTAATTCTATATATCACCTAATATTAAGAGTATAACAAATGAAAGATTTTAATAATCACGTTACTAAATTTTGATCCCTGAAATTCTTGGTAATACCAATGTTCACTTTGTCTGGTTTTGTTGCAGTATGCCCCATATATATTATTATTTTATTATTTACATATTTTATATATTGTAAAATTTGTTAATTTTTTTAAATTTAACTGATGTCACATGATTTTTATTATAAAATCCGCAAATTCCAAATTTCTCGTTTTTAATTTAGCGAATAAATTTCTTGGGCCAAACTTATCCGTTAAATCGAGATTCATTGTGTAGTATAGTTTTATGGTCGTTCTATATACGTGGATCACTCTACCCTTAAGTTGATATTATCGATGATGTCATAATGCTGATGATGTCATGATGTCGACAATGTTGGGGATCATTAATAATAAATATTGCAAAATTCGTTTTTTTTTTACTTTTAAAAATATTTTTTTGCTTCTTTGTAGTAAATATGGCAGCAGCACCATCATATGCAGAAGTTTTGAAAAAAGATACCGATATTGATAATAAAGAACATGATAATAGTGAAACAGAAGCTAATTCCACCTTCCACAACACCTCCGGTTATTCTTACAAACCTAGTGCTTCTAAAGGTATAATAACAATAAGCAGTGGTGGAGTAGATGACAACTATACATCTAGAGGAGGAAGTGATAAAAAATCAAAAAAATTATCAAAAAAATCAATTATTCTAAGCGCTACTTTAGATATCGCTTTAGCTGGAATGCTGATTGGCTGGATTTATAAGAAACCTACTGCTACTAAAATTCAAATTGGTGTTGGATCAATTGGCTTATTAACACTATATGGCGCTCAATGGTAATCTCGATTGATTATTTTAATTATTGTTATAATAATAATTGTTATTAACTAATATTTATATTTCAAATTTACTTTTAGGATTACATATAAAAAATATAAATATTAAATTATTTCTATTATTTCCCCAATCTTTTCAATTATTTTAAATCATACTTCATTAATTACTTTACATACATCTTCACCCCCAAAGAATGTTATTCTTTTTTAACGAATCGATAATAATTAATAAATAATAATAATTAATAAATAATATTTAATAAAAGAAATAAATTACAGTTACGGTCATATAAAAATTTCTCTACATGTGTTAGAAACATTACTATTATACAAAATACCTTTAATACTAAGAACAACCTCCCCATAATAATAATAACAACATTTTTGGAAAAAGTTATTATTACTATATTGTAAACCAACGCCCCATTGAAGTTGTACCATGCTCGTAATTTTGTGTACATTACTACCACTAAAGTCAGTGATAATACGCCAAAAACAAATGTTATGTATACCAAATTGGTTAGCCTTTCAGTATTAGTAGATTCCACTATAAAAAATTACTAGTACTAATGATTAAATCGATTATTTATTATTTTAACACACTTTTTAAACCAAAAGAATTATGCTCATTGTTGAAAAATGTGGGAATCATCAATTAATATTCATTCATCAGATAAGAATTATGTAATTGTTTAATATATCGTAAAGTGCAAGACACCTAGTCCTGCAACCTTTTTTTGGTCTTATAGATCCTTTAGCATTCCAAAAATAGGAATATAGCATCAAAAAAACAAATCGTGGTTTTGAAGCCAAGACCTTTTGCTACAAAGTTACAATGTATAAACAAACATATATGAAAAAATAGATATAAGGAATAAATTTTTTGTCTATTTAATTAGGTGTTGAAAATCGCAGTTATTGACCTGGTGATTGTATCGTTGAAACATTTTGTTTTGATGGTAATATTGATAAAGATGTTTATGAAGATACTTATCGTGTTAGCAATGATAATGATAAATATATTGCAACTTTGAAGCCATGATAATGTGAGAAAGGTCATGGATTTAATTCTTGATTTTGGTCTTACATCTTCATTTTTGGAGGAATTAAAGAATCTGCAAGACCAATAAAAGTTGTGGGTTTTGAAACGAGTTTAATTTTGGGGGATAAATTGGATGAAGAAGCTTTGCAATAGTAAATTATACTTATCTCTATTAATAAATATAGAAGTTTTGGTAACTAGATATAAAGTAACCATTTAAAAATATTTCTAATAATAGTGAAATATATGTTATTATTATGGTTATTATTATTTGGAGTGTTGAGAATGTTAGATTCCTGTAAAAAAAATTATTGATATTTTTCAAAAGAAGTATTTGTACTTTATGCAATTTTATTTTAGGTTTCTGCAAATATATATATATGTAAAATATGTGTGTATGAATGTGTATAATCTAAAGAAAAAAAAATTTACATTGATTTTGAAAGAAATCTATCTATCATTGTTATTATGCTAAAAAAATATGAAATGTGAATTGTGATTTTTTTGAGTGTGTAAGATGAGTAAACATGCGTAAATTGTGTGAATGCAAGTATGTATAAATGCAGAAATTTATATCTGTCTACCTAATCTATCTATCTATTTAATTAACTAACTAGTGAATTAGACGCTGGTTATTAAGAATGTGGTGGCTAAGATAACAATTATAATTATAATAATGGTAATGGTGTTTTTAACGAGTATTGGATTTTTAATCAGAATCTACAAGATTGTCATTATTATCATCAAGATTCAGTAATGTTAGATGATTGATGGAGTTGAGGTTAACAATGCATTACTACTATAAGATCTACCAGATAAAGTACGTCTTATCTTTCCACTTTTATCACTACAAAAATGATGCATTGTCGGGTAGGAAGTATGCGGAGTTGACATTCGAGATAATTTTTCCTGGATATCCTCTGGTATAATCAGTAGACCAGCAGCTAAACTTACACGACGTTGTTGTCCTTTAATTGATGATGAAGACGACGACGACGACGATGATGATGATGGTGATGATGGTGACGATGGTGATGATGGTGATGACGATGATAGTGATGGGGATGATGGGGATGGATTGGTGATTGACATCATTGATTTTGTTTTATTAGTGGTAGAAATGGGATGTGATGATTTTTTTAATATGGGTGTTTTTGATTTTGAACTTAATGATGGTAATAAACTATCAATAAACTTTGACACAAGGATTGTTTTTGTATTATTATTATCTTTAGAAATGCTAGTTCTAATATTTGAAGATTTTGGAGAACTTGTTTGTGAATTATTATCATCATAATCAGTCTTCTTCTTCTTCTTCTTCTTCTTCTTCTTTTTCTTGTTGTTGTTATTATTATTTATTTCATCCCAATAAACACGATTTTTTGCCAAAGTGTCAAGAAAGATTGTAGCATCGTTTAGAAATAAAGCCAATGCTTCAAAATATGGTTTGACAACGAAATCGCCAAAACCAAGACTTATTTGTGACTGATGAGCTTGTTCTCTATCCATATCTGGAGATACAGGCAGGTTTTTTTGTTTTTCCAAGTCACCTTGTTTAAAAAATTCCTCAACAATAGAATCAGACCAACGTTTAGATATATCCCATGGACGTACAGCATTACTCAGATCAGCAGCATGAAGTAAAACTTTTAAAAAAATATCACGTTGATCTTTATCTAATAGCTTTGAAGGTGAACTTGTAGACATTGAAAAATATTCAGGTGAGGAAACAATGGAGGAGCTTGATGAATAACTACCACTACCATTACTACTATCATTATCCAATTCTTCGCCACAAGATTCATCAGAAGATGGTGATGATGAAGAACAAATGTTTGTAGAAGAAGTGGATGATGATGATAAATTAATAATATTATGCAAAGATTCTAACAATTCATAATGATTCATCATATCGGTTGCTAAAATTATTTTCTCTATCAAAGATTTCAAGGTGAAGTCAATTTGTTGTGGATCCATTCCTTGGAAATCGTTGTTGTTGTTGTTATGTAAATGACGAAACAATTTATGTTTTGATAACAACTCCATTGTCAGTGTGCAAGAATAATTTTCTAATACAGATTGATTATTGTATTTGATTGCTAGAGGTGTTCTTGCATTAACCTGGTAAACATTATTTAAACCGGGATGTCCTATATCATGACACAATCCAGCTATCATCAAACAAATCGAATCAAAGTGAGTCAAATGTTTGGCAGCACCTAAATCAACCAACATGTAGTATAACATGGCCACAACATCTGCCGCATGATAAAATGAATGGTAATCAGTTGTAAAATAGCCTTTTTCAACATCGATAATAAAATCCAACATTTCCGATTCTTGTATTTGTAAACAACCACTCAAATCCAATTTCACCATCATACCCAACACTATACCATATAACTCTGGTATTGACCAATCCCATACGTTAAAGTAGATTCCAGTGTCTGAAGATAATTTATTATACAAAAATTTTAACATTGTCTACAAAAAAGGAAACGAAAGGGAGATAAGTAAACAAGATTTAGTAATGCAACAATAATATATTAGATTAAAAAAAGGACCTACGCTTTCACATATTATTAATTTGTCAGAAGGTAATGAGTTGTATTTTAATAAAAGCATGTTTTTTATAGATTATGTGTTAGTTTCATCTAATAATAATAAATTAGCAGGAATAAAAAAATAATAATAAAATGAATCTATATTTATATAAATACTCTATATATCTATAATATCAAAAAAGTATTATTGTTTTGTTTGTAAAAAAAAAGTTTTTTAAATTTTGGCGTCAGTGATGATGACACAATAATGTAATTTGTAACGTGGTTTTTTTCTAAATATAAATAAATATAAAATCATCGACAATCCTAATTTGTGTAATTTGTAATAAAGGATAATTAATTGGGTAAACAAAGGATATGTATGGGAGCAACAACAACTTTGGCTTCGAGACAATGAATTATTGTATAGTTTATTAGTAAAATTAGTAAATGAAGGAAAGATAAATAAACGAACTTATTCCATATTTATTTATTTATTTCATTTTAAAATAAACCATACATCCATCAATTAATTTAAAATCTCTCTATTGCAAAATGATATCATTGAATAGAAATAGGCTTAAGCGGATTAGATTGTTTGATCGAGTTGAAAAATAGATAGGTTCTCGTATTTGGTGATCTTTGATTGAAAGTTTTCTGTGTATGATGACGATATGTTGATTAATAATTACTCCAAGATGCCTGCGACTTTACGCCTTCTTCCATTACTCTTTATCTTGTGATTTGCCATGGTAATCTTGAAGGTAGTCAGTAGATCAACAAATGAAATCAGTAACTAACTAACTAACTCGCTCGAACCAATTGGGAATATCGAGCAAACTTGGATAGGAATATTCCTTTGATTTTTCGTGTTTGAGATTTAAACAATTTTATTGTTTGTACAAAAGACAAATATTTCTTCGAATCAACAAATCTTGTGATGTCACGTATTCAAGTATATATTAATATATTTAAATTATTATGTGGCTCGTCCGTATCCCCTTAAAGATCTGCACCGCGTGAAGTTCACAATAATGTTTTAGACTTAATATTAAGGATACTCGATTTGTATACTGCAGAATTTTTTGTTTCCATTGAATGAAACCCATATTAATATTAAAATTAATATGCAATAATACAAATAAATTTTATATTAATAATATTACTAATATAGTAGTACTAAATAGGGTATTTTGATGTTAAATTTTGAGGGTCGCGTAAGATGCATTTTTTGAGAAATTATTATTATTATTATATATTTTCGATGGTTGCCGTCATTTTAGATCTATTTGTTTAAACAAACATTAACACAATATTTACAATATTGTATACAAATAAGAACTATTAATAGTACGTAATATTTATTACCTATTACCCATTAGTAACAATCATCCGTCGTTCAACCACGCAGAATAAGAA